GGAGGAGTGGTGTGAGGTGGCGAGAGTGGGCGAACACAACACACTACGAAAACCAATCAGAACGAGCATACAAATTTTGACAGAACCAAAACGTTCGCAAACAACGACTGGGGGAAATCGAGGGTGGGGAAAAGGAAAGCGAGGGCGCGCGCAAGTTGCAGGGGGGGAGTGGGGGAAGAATACCTGGTCAGAGCGGCGCATGGCACAGTGCGGAACACTGGAAACAGCGGGAAGGAAGGGCACGTGACTCTGGGTTGCGCATCCTGGCCGAGTTGCGCAACTCGCTTGAAATAGCCAAGCAACTCGACTTGCGCATATCAGGGCGTGGTACACCTTATATCACGAGTATGTCTTCAAACTGAAATTCGAACAGCTGATGCGGTTGTAGACGTTTAGACTATTTTCAACGCGATCAAATAGGCTCAATCAGATTTTTTTTTATTTTTTTTTGCGAGTTCAAGTCGCGTACCTCACTTGAAACGATTTGTACCGCGCCCTAATAAAAACTAGCGTGTGCTGTGCATGGTGTTTTCGCTGCCTAGGGCGTAATGGCACTGGGCTGGGTTTGCACTCCAAAAAGTCCCAAAATGTATGGGGGGAAGTTCAAGTTTCTTACTGCTCAAACGCCTGGTGTGGCGGGGGCAGGGACATAATCAGCTGGGGATGGCGCAAGATTACAGACTGTTTCGCGTCGTTTTGTTGCGCAACTTTCGTTTTTGCTCTCGCTCCGGGGAACTGGGTTACCAATCGGGGGGTTTCAAGATTAATAAACTTGAAAGGAAATTTCTGCAATTTGGGTCAACGGCTTTAAAGGCCATATCCCAAATTACAAGCCGGGAAATCCAGATTTGGAGCCCAGGGTTCGGACTGGGGCGTTTGGGCCGTAATTGGCTGCGAGGGTTGCGAACGGTTGGGTTCAGAAATTATAAAAAGGGAAAGTATATCGGCGCTCAGTATTAGGGTCCTCGATAACATGTACCGTCAGTGACACGATATAAACAATCAGAATTAGCGAGTTCGCAACATGTTTCATCAGTCGGATTCCACCGTTAGTCAGAAACTGCGGGAAAAAAGTTCCACGAATGGTCAGTAGAAGTAACCCCCGCCGGTCCCGGAATGTTTTCCCACTCGCGCCAGCCCAATTTTGTCATCATTGCGGTTGGCGCGATAATTTTCCCAAGCTCCAGGCGTAGTACGAGAGAACTACGTAAAGTATTCTCACATTATAAACCGTTGGACGCCGCGCACACAAAATTCCAAAATTGAGACCTTGCGCATTTATGTCACATAAGCTGATTGGGCCACAGCGGGCCGCACATCAGGTGCGACATTTTTCAAACATTAACACACGCAAAAAAAACGAAAACATTTGACACGAAAGGGAAAATCTATCCGGGATCGGCGCTAAGCCAATGGGGCGTGAACATTGAACTGTAGTGCGCGTGCGCTAATTTGTTTCGAGTAGGACAAGATATGTAGAGTCGTAATTCAGCGAAAATGTTTTCCGGTAAATACATTTTTGAAACAATCAAAAGACAACCGACAGACTTCTAATAGATTTGTTGTATTGAAATAAATACAAAATTAAATGCGGCTCTGAGAGTACCTTGACGTGCTTTTAAACATATTAATTTCCCAAAAACGAATCCTTGTAGCTATCTATATATGTTATTGTTTTCGGGCAACTGTGGAATGACAACAAGTTTATGGCTTGACTTCTTCTTGGGGTCATAAATGTGGTCGAGACAAAGCCGCCATTTTTAGTCATCGCGGGACGCGCTACCCTCTGTGACGAAAGTATGTGCTTCGAAACAAAATCGTGTTTTCGTGTTTCTCGACTAACCCATTTCCAATGAATCTTAATTTGGGCATTTTGTGTTTTTTTCGCTCGAACTAAGCTTGGAGCTCGGGAAAAATAGTGCGCCGGCCACAATGATGACAAAATTGGGCTGGCGCGGGCGGGAAAACGTTCCGAGACGGGCGGGGGTTACTTCTACTGACCATTCGTAGAACTTTTTTCCTGCAGTTTCTGACTAGCGATGGAATCCGACTGATGAGTCATGTTGTGAACTCGCTAATTCTGATTGATTATATCGTGCCACTGACCATACATGTTATCGAGGCCCCTAATACGGAGCCCCGATATACTTTCTCTCATAAAAACGAATCCCACCAACAAAACAATTGGTTTCGCCAACGGAAAACCCACCCCCACTCACGCCCCCAGAGACAGTAGTCTCCCCACCCCCACTCAAACGAGGGCCCAGCCCAATCAGAAAACAAATAACGCGGAGCAGAACCGCGTCATAGACGAATACACGCAGGCATGCAGACACAAACCCCCCCAGCGAGAAATGCGCTGAAACAACAGACGCGTAAAGCACGGGGAAAAAAAAGGAGGGGAACGCAGGGTGCGGCGAAGGCGGACGGAGCAGCAAGGGGGACGCGCATGGCGCAAACACTCACAAAGACGGAAGCGATGGTGTTCGGATTGTACGACGACGGGGGTATCTGCAGAATGTGGATGATGGCCTCGACGACTGTAATTGATACAAAAATCGAAAAAGTCTCTCGCATAGGTCGCATTCTCCCCATTGCCCGTAGCTACCCTAATCTCATTCGCGGGATGCTGTGCGAAGCGAGATGGTTGGGACGTCAGTGGAGCTAGGTCCCTGACATTGGAGGGCTGGGCCAAGCAAAACACACAAGACTAGGCTAGAGCGGCTCCTGTAATGCTGTGGGGGGAATCGATTGCATAGCTCCGTTTTGTGAACAAAACGGTTTTCTAGCAGTCCCAATTTACAAGCAACGGTTCTTCCCCTTGGCCACTTCTTCCTGTGGTTGGAGTTTGTGCTTGGTTCGCGAAAACCGTGTTTCCACATCGTCCAATCAGGCGCCTCCCTTTCCCATCCGTCCCCAACTTGTTCGCTGTTCCCTAAATTGCACAGGGTAACCACTCAGGCCCCTCCGAAAATTGTTAACAAAAAGGCATGCGTCTTGTAACTTGGGACCTGGGCTTTAAGTCGCGAGCGTCAGAAGGGTCGCACTGTACATTTCGCCAGGCTGATTGTTGCCTCCGCCAATCATAATCGAGCAGTTCATTTCAAACTCCGTTCCATCCGAAATTCACGACAGTGATTCCAGTCAGTCATCCTATACTCAGACGTATTTTAGAATGTAAATGTTCAAGTTGGGCCCACTTTTGCTATTATAGCATGGTGTTAAATTATATCTTTGATATATAATTGGTAGGCTTGGTAGGTGTTACTGAAATATATTGTAGAGGGTACAACCCCCCTCTTTGTATCCCTCTCTTCTATTCTCGATCTCTTTCTCTCGTCAACTTCCTCTCCTAGCTAAACCCTCGTGCCATTCCATGGCCGTCTATCGTTCCTAGCGTTCTAGTCTTTTGACCAGGGTCCTCGCTAGGATTTCAGCCCGTCTGAAAGTCAGACCGGGTTTTTTCGCTTCGTCTGACCATCTGATGGAAATTTTGCAGCAGTCTGAAATTTCAGACGGAAAATTACGCTACATCACACTTAATTTTGCCTTGGAATCTCCACGCAGTACTGACTTTCTGCCGAGTTCCTGAACTTAGGCGATGCAACTTAGTTTGTACAAAGTGGTTCGAGCGAGTGCGCGTGGGAGGCAAAAAGAACTGGGGGGTGTGAGAATCAAATTTGCAAAGGCGGGAGGGAAATCGGCGCCATCCAGGTGGGAATTTTGTGAACTGCCAATGGGCACCCTCGCACACACAGGCCCCCCGCAGACAAAGCCTACAGCGCACATCGGCAAAAAAAAAATCACACCGCCTCCAGCACAAACTGGGAGGTAATTTTTGTGAAGGGCCTGTCATTTCTCCCACAGCCCCCAGCACAGCATACACTGGCCTCTGATTTCGGTGAAGGGTCAGAAAGCACCCTCACGGAGACCCCCAGCAAGTATCGGGCCCTGATTTTGGCCAATCAGCGCTCTCATACCACAGGCCTGCAGAAAACGTTTCCAGAGGAAAGAATACGCGCTGTATGCAGACTCATATGAAATTTTACACGCAGTCTTAAATTTCAGACGAAAATAAAACATTGCTCTTAACGATCAGACGAATTTTTCAGGGTTGTCTAAACTTTCAGATGAACCTAAAAAATCAGGTCTGAAAATCAGACCATCAGACCGATTCCGTCTGATAAAAAGGGCCCTGCTTCTGACATGGTATCAGAGCAGGTTGCCCTTCCCGGGTCTGCTCCCCACGCTTCCGCCGCGCACTCCTCCTCTCCCTCTCGCGCTGCCATAGCGGCCGCGTCGTGCTGCTGTGGTGGCGTCGTCGTGCCGCCGGCCGCATCGTCCTGCCGCGGCCGTCTCAACGCGCTGCCGTGGCGTCGCGCTGTCGTGGCGCCGTCGACGTCAAGCCGTGGTGGCGTGACGGCGCCGTCGTGCTGCCGTCGCAGCGTCGACGTACCGCCGCGGCATCAACGCCGCTCTGTGGAGGCGGCGTTATGCTGCAGTGGCGGCGTCGACAGGCGGCAGCGAGCCGCGTGACGTCTTAGGCGCCGCCGATCCCGACGCCTGCACGCCAGCCACGGGCGTGTTGCAGAAGCCCGCCCCCCTTCTCTGCGTCCCCACTTCCTCGCCGCAGCCGGTGGCTGACTCCCGCTGGCCGTCCCACCGTCGCGGAGCCCAGCCACGCCGCCTAGTGCTACAAGCCCCACCGCCGCCGCCGCCGCTGTTGCGAAGCCGCCGCCGCTGTCGCCGCTTGCGTTGGGGCCACGCCGCCGCACGCCGCCGCCGCCGCCGCTGTCGACGCTGCCGCCGCCGCAGCCCTTGCTGTCGACGTCGCCGCCTCACGCGCTGAGGGGTTGACCGGGCTGGTGTAACCGTCGCTGCAACTGAGTATGGGGTGCTAGATTTAGGGGGTGTGTGTGGCTTAGTGTCCCATGTGTGGTGTGCTTTCGGCTACCAAGCCTAGGGGGTGTGTTAAATGATATCTTTGATATATAATTGGTAGGCTTTGTAGGTGTTACTGAAACATACTGTAGAGGGTACAACCCCCCTCCTTGTATCCCTCTCTCTTCTATTCTCGATCTCTTTTCTCTCGTCAACTTCCTCTCCTAGCTAAACCCTCGTGCCATTCCATGGCCGTCTATCGTTCCTACAGTTCTAGTCTTCTAATACCTGGGGCTTTAAAGTGACATCGCAAACTTTCCAGCGTTTCAGAATGTACCCTAAGGCCACAGTATTATTGGAGAACCACCCCGAGGAATCAGTATGAACATATCCGACCAACCCTGACTGCTACACGTTTCTCGGGGGGCCCGCCCTGATTGGTCAGGATGCCTAAAATCCTATCTGAGGCCCTGAGCGAAACCTTTCCTTTCAAAGCACCGGAATGGAGGCGGGTCGATCCGCCACTCCAACTTCAGTCAGATCTTCCCAAAACCCCACTCACATCGCACCCACACCACCACCATCACCACCACCACCACCACCAGCACCAGCACCAGCACCAGCACCAGCAGAATCGGATTCAGCTGCGGCAGACACATATTCAGCCCCCTTTCTCTAAAAAAACCGGGGTGGAGCCAGGGCAATCCGCCACTCCAGCCTCGAATCACTCAGGTCGTCCCCAAAGTGCCGCTCATAGAATATCCCCGCTAGCGGCACCGCTCTGATGCCAGCCCCCAGCACCCAGGGATAGATGGAGGAGAGGATGGCTAGCTTGCAGTAGCACCCACACCAGCACCAGCACCAACAACAGCACCAGCACCAGCACCAGCAGAACCAGAATCGGCGGCAATAGGAGCAGCAACTACCCCTGTTTTCTCAAAGAACCGGGGTGGAGCCGGGGCAATCCGCCACTCCAGTCTCAAGTCGCTCATATCGTCCCCAAAGCGCCGCTCATAGAATATCCCCGCTAGCGGCACCGCTCTGATGCCAGCCCCCAGCGCCCAGGGGTAGATGGAGGAGAGGAGGAGCGAGCGGCGAGCGGGGGAGAGGCGGATGGGGGCGCCTAGGGACGCTAGGAGGCACATGGGGAGGCCGGTCTGGGAGAACTCTATGACCTTGAGGGCTAGCTCGCCAGATACTGTGGTGGGGAGGGCAAATAGCGCGTGCCAAAAGTCGTGCACCTCCCTTAACCTGAAGGAAAGGAAAGAGAAGAGAGAGATAGGGGAGAAAAAGGATGGGATGAGGAGGCCAGATGTGGGGAGGGCAAATGTGGTGTCCCAAACGCGTGCACCTCCCTTAACCTGAAGGGAATCACAGGGGAAAGCGAGATAGGAGAGGGGCATATGGGAGGGGAGGCATATGGGGAGGCCGTTCTGGTCCAGCCCATAACATGTGCCCACTCAGAACCTGCACTCACCACATTGCCACGTAGGCCACCTCACGGTTGTCCATGAACGGCACAGGCGGCCTCTCAGGCGGCAGGAAGCTCTGTGTGTAATGAGTCTATTTTTGAAGAAGAGAACCCCAGTGAGGATCCATGTGTCGTTGTGGGAAAAAATTTACCCAAGGAGAAGTGGTGGAAATATTGAGAGATACCCTGATGGTCGATAAGCGCAGACACGCTTTGATAAAAGACGTGTGGAACTTCAAATATTTCAAGATCTTCACAGTCGCTTGGCAAGACACCCTTGCCACCTCATCTTGCCACACGACTTTGAACATCTCGAAATATTTGAAGTTCCACACGCCTTCTATCACTGCGTATCTGTCCTTATCGACCATCAGGACATCTCTCGATATCTCCACCACTTTTCCTAGCATGATTTTCCACACAATTTTAGTTTCTGTGTCTTCTCCAGCCTCCGCTTGCTTTCGCCGTCCTCCATGCCCATCTTCAACCCCGGCCTCTTGCTCCTCCTCTTGGCTCTACAACTCCATGCTCTCGTCCTTCCGCCTCTGCTCTTGCCCTTCCTCCTTGGCTCCGCATCTTCGTACTCTCACCCAAACTCAAAACTCACCGTGTGGCCACATGAGCCAGCTCAGGGTCATCAACAAACCACATGAGGAGTCGCACATGGGGCAGGAAAAGAACATCCACTTTTAGTTTAAAAAGTTAACCCACCTAACTCTAAACTCATCGCGTGGCCACAAGAGCCAGCTCGGGGTTGTGAAGAAACGCACAGGCATGCTTTCATGGGGCAATAAGCTGCACGGATACTCACATACGGTCACCAGAATGCACACCCAACAAAGGATTGACTGGGCACTCACCGCGTGGGCCCATCAGCCAACTCGGGGACGTCAATAAATCGTACGGGAGGTCGGTCATGCTGCAGGAAGCTGCAAGGGCGCTCGAAGTGGGTATAGGCTGTGCCAAAGGTCCAGAAGAAACCATGTACCCACCCAAAACCTGTACCCACCTGGATCCCGAACTCACCGTATGGCCAAGTAGGCCAACTCGGGGTCGTCAATGAAGCGCACGGGCGGCCTCTCATGGGGCAGGAAGCTGCGGGACCGCATGAAGTGCGCACAGGTCACTCTGAAGGTCCGGCCAGACCATGTGCCCACCCGGACCCTGCACTCACCGTGTGGCCACATAGGCCAACTCGGGGTCGTCAATGAAGCGCACGGGCGGCCTCTCATGGGGCAGGAAGCTGCGGGATCGCATGAAGTGGGCGTATGCTGCTCCAAATGTCCCTCTGCCGCACAGCTCTGCTGCTTCCAGTGTGGCGTCTGTCACGCGGGGTCTCTCCTCTAACAGTGCCTGGTGGTGATGGCAGCAGGGGAATGGGTAAAGAGAATGGGTAAAGAGAATGGGTAAAGAGAATGGGTAAAGAGAATGGGTAAAGAGAATGGGTAAAGAGAATGGGTAAAGAGAATGGGTAAAGAGAATGGGTAAAGAGAATGGGTAAAGAGAATGGGTAAAGAGAATGGGTAAAGGGAATGGGTAAAGAGAATGGGTAAAGAGAATGGGTAAAGAGAATGGGTAAAGAGAATGGGTAAAGGGAATGGGTAAAGGGAATGGATAAAGAGAATGGGTAAAGAGAATGGGTAAAGAGAATGGGTAAAGGGAATGGGTAAAGAGAATGGGTAAAGAGAATGGGTAAAGAGAATGGGTAAAGAGAATGGGTAAAGAGAATGGGTAAAGAGAATGGGTAAAGAGAATGGGTAAAGAGAATGGGTAAAGAGAATGGGTAAAGGGAATGGATAAAGAGAGCATATGAAGCGAGCATAGGCTGCTCCGAATGTCCCTCTCCCCTTAAAACCCCCTTCTCCCCCCCTCGCACTCACCCTGTCTTTATCACACCCTCTCATAAGCACTATACACACCTATACGCATATATACTACTGGGAATAGGCTCACCCTGTCGCACTCACCCTGTCTTCATCTAATTCTCTCATCTGCGCCTTGATTCTCCCAGGCGCCACCCCCCCCAGTCGTCTTCCCCACAGCCGCCACCAGATCCGCCCATGCGGGACTAGCACTATACACACACATATACACACATTCATATCCACAACCAGGACGCAACAACCATACTCACCCTGCCTTCATACACACACATACACACACACACACACACACATATACACACATACACACACACACACACACACACGCATTCATATCCACAGCCAGAAAGCCAACTCACCCTGCCTTCCGCGCACCCCCTCATCTGCTGCCTGATTCTTTCCAGCGCCATTCCCCCAGTCGTCTCCCCCACAGCCGCCACCAGGTCTGCCCGTGCGGGGTTGGCTAATGCGCCCACGGATGCCCCTATGGCCACTGCTGCTCGCTGGAAAGGCGAGAGGGGGATGTGCGTGTCGTAGAGGGGGGCTGGGGGGGGGGAGAGGAAGAAAGAGGGAGGGGGGCAGTGTGGGGGGGGGGAGGGGGAGGAGAGTTTGGGGGGGTTTGGAGCATGAGTGGTGAATCTGCCCGAGCAGGGGTTGCTAGTGCGCCCACTGATGCCCCTATGGCGACTGCTGCGCGCTGGAAAGGCGAGAGCAGGATGTGCGTGTCGTAGAGGGGGGCTGTGGGGGGGGTGTGGGATAAGAAGGGGGGGGAAGGGAGGGGGGGGACGGGAAGGGGGTTGGGAGGGTTGGAGCATGAGTAGTGGATTCGCCCCAGGCAGGGTTGGCCAGAGCGCCAACCGATGCCCCTGTAGGGACTGCTGCTTGTTGGAAAGGGGAGAGGGGGGGGTGCGTGTCGTATGGGGGGGCTGGGAGAAAGTGGTTAGGGGGAAGGGGGAAGGGGGAGGGAGGAAGGGAGAGGGTATGTGTAAGGCATCCGCCCGTGGGTGACTTTTGACCAGTGCGCCCACCGATGCCCCTATGGCCACTGCTGCGCGCTGGAAAGGCGAGAGGGGGATGTGCGTGTTGTAGAGGGGGGCTGGGAGGGGGGGTTAAGAACGGGAAGAATGGAGAGGAGAGAGGAGGGGGTGGGGATTCCCGCGTGGGTAACAGATCCCCCCGTGCGGGGTTGGCCAGAGAGCCCACGGATGCCCCTATGGCGACTGCCGCTCGTTGGAACGGGGAGAGGGGGATGTGTGCGAGTCGTACAGGGGGTCTGGGAGGGGGGAGAGGAAGAACGAGGGAGTGGGGAAGTGGGAGGGAGGGAGAGAGGGGGGAATTGGAGCATGAGTGGCAAATCTGCCCGTGCAGGGGTCGCTAGTGCGCCCGCAGTGACTGCCGCGCGTTGGAGAGGCGAGAGGGGGATGTGCAGGGGGCAAGACAGGGGGCGAGTCGTACAGGGGGGGCTGGGGAGCGGAGGCTAGGATCTCATTGATCTCAGGGAGGCAGGAGAAGAAGACGGGAGGAGAGAAATTGGAGCATGGGTAATAGATCCGCCCGTGCGGGGTGGGCCAGTGCGCCCACCGATGCTCCTATGGCCACTGCTGCTCGTTGGAAAGGCGAGAGGGGGATGTGCGAGTCGTACATGGGGGCTGGGGTGTGTGTGTGGGGGGGGGGGGGAGGGAGGGAGGAAGGGGGTGCAAGGGGGGATTGTGCATGAATGTCATCTCCTCCCGTGCAGTCAGTGGGCTGGTTTGTCAGTGGGCCCAACGATGCCCTACTATGGCAAGGGCAGCTAGGGCGAGAGCGGGGTGTGCGGGTCGTGCACAACACAGCACTAAAAGTCGGCATCGAGCCTACCTTTTGAGTCAACTCAAAAGTCACCCCTATGGCAAGGGCTGCTAGGGGGAGAGGGATGAGCAGGCCCTACACAGCACAGCATTATAAATCGACCTCGAGCCTACCTGCTTCCGATCCAGTAGCTACTCCGCGGCACACCATCGGCTGGTGAACTAGATCGACGGCTGCAGGCACCTCGGCGATCGGCTGTCGCGCGTGAGCCGTCCGATGCAGCACGGACGACAGGACGGCACTAGAGGCGGCAGCAGAAGCCGCTGCTCGAGATAACGCCGGCACTGATCGCCGCAGCAGCATCGTTGTGTGCGAAGGACGCTGGCCAATCAGTTCCCTGAGTACAAAATAGGCGAGAAATTTTTGCTGGACTGAACTGAAGAAGGCAGCGGAATATGGAGTTGGCAGCGTCTTACAGAAGATGCGTCAGTAACGTGTGCGAAAGAAGCAAGGGCTTTCAGCTAGACTGAACGCGGCAGTGGAATCTGAAGCGATTGTTTTGAGACGTTGGATGGATGAAGCGATTGTTTTGAGACGTCTCTAGAAACAATGAAATGGAGTTGGACGGAACGCTCACTGGAAGCGCAAGACGCGGAAAGCAGATTCGGGAATATTGTTAGGGCGTGGTACATACAGTTCCTAAATTCGAATCACGGAACTGAGTTCAGAAAACAGAGGTGGGTCACTTTGGACGAAAATGGTATATCGGGTTTCGAAACTCGTATCTGTCCGAATTTCCCACCTGGCACCTACGTCCGGACAGTGGGGATTGGCGTTTGATTTTTCCAGCAACACGAATTGCGATCAGAAACGAAATTAACGAAAAATCTTAAACCAGAGTCATGCCGTACAAAGGCTCGTCAAATTTTGGGTTTGAGGCGATCTGGCTTTGGGACTTCGCCAGGCTGGCTTTGATTGGCCGATGTGATTTCATTTCAACCAGCGTAGTGTGACAGCATCTACTTCTCGCTCATTTCGCCGGGGGTAGGAGAACGGGGGGGGGAAGTCCTGTTCGGAAGTGGTGGGGAGGCCGTTCGGATACCCCTGTCCGGACAACGATGGTAACCTGTTTTACCCAACGAGGCATTTGTCGCAAACTGACTCGAGACGGCTCTCCCGACATTCGTACCATACTTTTTGCTTACACTTGTCCGGACAGCGGCCAGTTACGGAACTGTATGTACCACGCCCTTTGTCCCAGCCTTGGGACAGACGTTTGCCAATCAGGAGGCGGAAAATGGAGAACGCGAAAATCAGCGAAACCAGAAGGCTACTTCTCCTCAGCATTCACGGCGCGAAAGGCTGGCGAAGCCACCAGATGTTAAATGTAACGTCCATATTTTATGGAATGATAAATTGGAAGTGCAGTGTCTGCAGATCATCTATTACCTCTTGTGATGTAATAATGTGAAAGAACTTCCTGAATTTTTACAGGTGCAACTAACCTATAATCAAGTCATATTACAGATGGAAAAAATGTGTAGGTTATAAACACATTGAAACCGTATCCATGAGATCCTAGCCTTCGCTGGTAATAGTAATGAACCCTTTCCCGCCTTTCTGGAACATGAGTTTCTACCGACACTCACCCCCCCCCCCCCCCCCCCCCCCCCCCCTCGGTAATATCAATAAGATTCCAGCCCCCACTGGTAAAAATGGAAATTCCCCCCACCCCTCACTCCTCTTTACAGATTCTTCGAGCAGCAGCAAGCCCCTTTTATCGACACTCATCCCCCCAGTCACCAATCAAAGCTCTGAGGGCACATCCTCCACTGGTAACACTGGCTGTGCTTGTCAAGATAGTGTCAACAAATATATTTATACTGCTCACTAACTTAACATGTGGTTGCGCTCCCAGCGGCCACGGGTTTCGTCGACCCTCCTCTGAACCTGGTCTCCTGGTGACACGTCTGCATTCCACATCTGGAGCAGCCTTGCTCACGTCCGCGACACTCGTGCTGACAAGCTCTCAGCCCGCACCCTTCATTGTGCTTTCCTAGGTTTTCTGCTTGACGCCTCTGATAGGCAGTTCTACCACCCATCACATCATGGCGTTTATCACTCTCGTGACGTTATCTTCGACGAGACACTCCCCTACTACCAGTGCTTCCCGCATCGCAGCGCTCATTTGCCTCCTCCTCCTCTCTTCCTTGTCCCTACACCGACTGCCGCACCCCTCCCGCCCCGCCCGGCCCAGTCTGATGTCTCCCACGCCACTCAGTTCCCCTCGGTTGCGCATGTGGGGGAGTCGGCTAACTCTGGGGGGCCAGCTGCTGGGGGCGTGCCTGCTGTCCCCATGGCGCCTCCGCCAGCCTCGGTACCCCAGTCTCCTCACCCGACTCCCCCCTTGCCTCAGCAGCAGCAGCAGCTACCATAGTAGACTCAGTGGTCGCAGCAGCAGAGAATAGTGGGCTCTGGGGGTACTAGTTCTAGCGGTGCTGGTGTTGGAGGTATTGGTATTGCGGGTGTTGGTTCTAGAGTGCGAGTTCTAGGGGTGCTGACTCCGGGGGTGCTGGTTCTGTGGGTGGTGCGTCCAAGGGTGCTAGTCTTGGGGGTGTTGTTTCAGGGAGTGCCGATGGCAGCTGCGGTGCTGCTGGAGGTCCTGGAGAGGACAGAGAGCAGCTGCAGCCGTGGCAGCAGGCGAAGCAGCAGCAGCAGGCGCAGCCGCCGCAGTAGGAGTAGCTGCATTGTGCCCTTCGTCTCCTTGGTCTTGCTCCAGGTTCCCCTGTCCGCCCGTCCGTCCCCCCTCCGGTGCGTGACCCTATTTCTGGCCCGTTGTTCCCTCCTCCGGACGCCTCTCCGATTCGTTTTCCCCCGCTCTCCCCTCCGTCCCCTGACTTATCCCCCATTCCCCCTCGTTCCCAATCCCCAGTTCTTCCCCACTAGGTCTGTCACCCCTCTGGTGCTCATGCTGTCTCTCCCCGTCCTAGTGTCCACTCTATGGTTCTTCGTTCGCGTGCTCCTCCAGTCACATTCCTCCCATTGCCTCCCCCATCGTCGCCCCCGTCGTCCCCCCCCCCCTTAGCTCCGACGTTGCTCGAACTGCTCGCCCTACCCTCTTGCGCTTGCTTGCGTCGCTTGTCACTGACCCTACTGCTCCTCTTAAGTCTGTCTGTGCGCTTGTCGCAACTGTTTCCAACTTTGCTGCTAGCCACCGCCTTGATTACGCTGCCGCTCTTGTCTCTGGTATTGCCCGTCCTCTGTCCGTCGGGGGTGCACCTGTCCTTGGCAGTGACGTGCTAGATGATAGGCAGTACGAGTTGGCCTGACTTGCTGCCGTTGTTCCCCATCTCTGCTCCATGCTTGTATCCCCAGAGGGCGACCCAGATGCTCTCGACATCCCAGTTCCGTGCTCTTACACTGAGGCGGTGTCGGGGTCCTGGGCAGCCTAGTGGATACAGGTCCTGGAGGTTGAGATGGCATCCTACAGATCCACAAGCACTTACACTACGTCGACGCAGTTCCCTCGCCTGGGGCGAACGTAGTTGATGGCATGCGGATCTACAGGGTGAAGCGTGCACCTGGAGTGCCGCTGGAATTCAAGGCGCATTACGTGGCTAGAGGCATCAATCAGCATGAGGGTGTGAACTTCTTCCAGACATTCTCCCCAAACCCGAAGGTGACTACATTTCGGGTCCTTCTTCACATAGTCGCGCAGTGTGAATACGAGCTTCACTCACTCGACTTCTCCACATCATTCCTGCATGGTAGTCTGCACGAATAGATCTATATCTGGCGCCCTCTAGACTTCTCTGGGTCATTCTTATCTAGACCGAATGGAGCCTGCGTAGTCCTGTCTACGGCCTTTGTCAGGCACCCCGTGAGTGGCACGACACGCTTCGCACCACTCTTGCTGAGCTGCAGTTCTTTCCGTCCTCTGCTGACCCCTTTCTGATGTACCGTTCTACATTCTAGTGTGCGTAGAGGATCTTATCTTTGCTACCCCTGACAGAGTCGCGCTGGCCTCGGTGAAGGCCAAGGTACACCTGTACAGACTTGGGGGAGCTGAGACGCTCTCTTGGCTTGGAGATCTCGCGTGACCATGCCGCTCGCACGATCACCCTCTCCCAGACCCATATGGTGCACGAGATTCTCAAGAGGTTCACTATCCAGTTCTTCTCAGCACAGCCCACTCCTCTGCCTGTGGATAGCTCTCTGATTCTGTTCCGGCTCTTTCGGTCGAGGCTAGTGGTCCATACGCAGAGCTGGTGGAGTGCATCATGTACCTGATGGCCTGCACTTGACCAGATCTAGCGTACCCTCTCAGTCTCTTGGCTCGTTTTGTTGCGACAGGTAGGCACCGACCAGTCCACTGGTCAGCTGCCAAGAGGGTACTGTGATATCTAGCGGGTACATCAGGACTGGAGCTTGTGCTAGGAGGACGGGAGTCAGTGGTGCTCACTAGAGACACGGACGCGCCATGGGCTGACGACGTGGAGACGCTCAGGTCATCTCAGGGCTACCGTTTTAGTCTTGGTGCTGTTGGAGTCTCGTGGAGGTCCATCAGGTCGTCGTCTGTAGCTCAGTCCAGTTGTGAGGCAGAGATCTACGCTGGGGCCATAGCCGCTCAGGAGCTCCGCTGGCTGACGTTCTTGCTCAAAAACTTAGGTGAGCTACCTAGGTCTGCCCCGGTCCTGTTTGCTGACAACAGGGCCATGATCCTCTTGTGTCAGGAGGCTCGAATTGAGGGCAGGGCGGAGCACATCCAGCTGCGGTACTTCCATTTACGTGAGTTGCAGCAGCGCGGCCAGGCTCGAGTGGTACTGTTGGCCTCAGAGGCCAACACCGCTGATATCTTCACCAAGGCACTTGCGCCTCGTGACCATCAGCAGTTTTGTACTCTGCTTAGTCTCGTTTTCGTTGCAGCACCACTCCTTGTATCCTAAGTAATACTATACATGTTTGTACTTGTTGTTCTATACCTGCTTGCCTTGCTACACTTGGTGACTAGCGTTGTGGTCTCTTGTCTCAATGGTCAGACTAGTAGTGCTGCCTTGGTGTATTCTGCCTTGTTATGAACTGCCACTATCTAGGCTAGGGGGTGTGTCAACAAATATATTTATATAAATTAGCTAGTTCATATTTGTTTTTAGCCTAGCTAGTTTAGTTCTTTGCAAGTACAGCCCTAGTTTTGTATCCCTCAACATTTTCCCTTAGTCACACTTATCCCATTGCTCTAACAGGTAGAGCCTTCTCTACCTGTACTCATCCCCATAATCGCTAGTGAGAGTAATGAGATCGCAATGTTTGCTGGTTGTTGGGCTGAGAAAAGCCCTTAGGATCTTTTGCAGAGACTAAGTCCCAGCTTGTAGAGACTTGAGACTTGGAGTAGTGCAGCGGAAATTGAGACAGTTGAACCCTTGTACTAGTATGTGAGAACAAGTGATTGATTAAAGAAACAAGCATACAGCAATATATAGAAGATAAGAAAGCAGTTGTAGAATACAGTTACAGGAACGGTTTATCGAGTCGCACAGCGACTCGATTGCCGCTTCGGTTACCATCCGTGATGTTGTAACGGTCAGTCGTAACCTCCAGTTGCGACCTTTCGAGTCCTTTCGCATTCTTTGTCCGCCCCCTCGTGTAACCTCCGTTG